ACATAAAGAAGAGATTCGTAGGTCAATCTCACCAGGTGGACTGCGTCAACCTGAACGTCGACTTGGAAGCCAAACGGCTCCAGTACAACGGCATTCAACCGTCCTCTCCTGGTGAGATCGACCTACGAATATCTTCTTCATGCACTCTCACACAAAATCCCAACAATTCTGGAAGTGGCCAATCATAGCAACAACAATTCTCGCGACAAGTAAAGATGACCTGTGCCGAACTGACAGTTGTGTTGGCTAGTCGAACTGTGAAACGGATTTTCTGGTGCAACATGGGGAAATGCCGCCAAACAGACATCCTCGACGAAGAGAACTACCCACTCGAAAACCTGTGGAATGGACGCCAGCCCATTCTGGAAGGACAGAGCTCAAGTTGCGTCGTTTCTCGCTCAACTCTACACGCCGGCTGATACACGCAAACCCATTCGAGATCGACTTTTTGCGACCAGGGCGCCCATCCAGGCCTACTCACCCGCTTTCGGTGGACCGGAGATATTGACGACCGGCTGCAGGAGGGCCCAAGTGGGTATGGCAGGCGCAGACCCTACGAGGCATGCGGGCAGATGAAGGCCCTGCCGTCCGGCCAGTATGGACAGTCCGTAAGTTTGTATGCCTGCGGCGCTGGTCTCTTGGCGCGGTCTGCGTTTGTGCACTGTTTGTGTGCTCGCGTTGCGGCCGCAGCGTAGATACCGCTCCGACGTCCGCCTGCTCTAGCCTCTTGAGAGCAGTCTATGCGTGTGTGTAAACCCATCGCAGTACGCATTGGCGGCCGTGTGTGTGTTTGCGTTGTCAGGTGTCTGTAATTGTGTCCAGACAGCAGATGGTCGTAAGGGCAGTGGGTGACTCAGTAGAAAGCATTGTTCGAAGTGCACCAAGCAGAATGAAAGAGCCAGCCGTCCAGCTGTACAGGCGCCGATTGGCAGAGCAGGAGAACTAGACAACCCGGTCTGAAGAGCCGTCAATTTGGCAGTGCAGGTAGTCCGCGAGGGAGGATAGAAAAAAAGCTGTCTGGCCCTCGGCGTTGCAGGAGGCAAGTTGCAGGAAAACGGCCTATCGACCGAAACGCAGCGGAAAGGAAGCAAGAGAAAACTGACGGAACGAAGAAGAGAAGGCAAGAATATGCAGACAGAAATGGGAAGGTATGAAGAAAAGCCGGAGCTTTCAGGTGGCGTTAAGTGAAGTTGGTTGAGGCATTGCTTCTCGATCAGACGATGAGTTGCGCTAGGACCGGATGAATCCCAAACGCAAATTGATAGGAGTGGCGAGACAAGTAAAGACGTCCCTCCGAATTACGAGTCGCTTGCAGCCAACTTTGCATAGGAAAAGAAAGGCCTAGCAACATGATGAAATTAGATATGCGAAAAAAGTCGGCTTTCGAGGAAGCTCTAGTTTCATAAGTGTTGAGGTTACTGCCATTTCGAAGGTCGATTCCACCAGAAGACGACAAAGGATTCCCCTTGACGAGCTGTCGATTGGCTTCATGGTGACGCTACTTCGATTCCGTCCCTTATATGTTTTCTTGACTCGTTGGCTTGAATTCGGTTGTGACGATGATACCTTGCTCTGGTGATGTTTGTCATATGACGGACAAAAGAAAAGTAGCTTCCCACCGGAATCGAAGGAGATTGCCTCGGAAACAGTGTCACCATGAATGTTCCAATGAAGCCAATCGACAGCTAGTCAAGAGGAATCGGCTGTCGTCTTCTGGTGGAATCCGCCTTCGAATGTCTTCACCAAACAGTTTTACTCGAAATGGAAGTAAGCTTAGCATAGAGACTGTAAACGGAAAAGGTCAATATTAATTTGTTCTCCACTTCTATTCAAATTTGTGTACAGTTGACTCAGTGAAAATAGACTTATTGGCCTAACCTCATTCTTAAGACGTTTTCGTGTTGCGCGGTTGACCTTTTATAATGCAAATTGGACTGGTGAAGTGATAGATAGCTACGATCAAA